CCTGACTAGCCTCTGTGCTTCCTATCAACTGTCACCTCACAAATATTAGCGGGCATGTCTATGTGCCAGGGACTCAGTGCTGACAGGGAAGGACAGATGAATGAGACACGGGAGAAAGCAGCTCCAAAGCATCCTAGCCTTTCTCTTCTCCTTGGCTGCAGTCAGAAAAGGAGTGACGGGAGTCAGGCAGGTGGATATAAAAACACAAATGTCCTTATTGTCAGTGTTGTGCTGGCAAAATAGGCCAAGTTCTACAGTTGAACAGGCTCCTCTGCTTTTCCTCAAGTTGAGACTCTTGAACAACCCTAGGGAGGGATGCATGTGCAGAGGGACAGATGGCTGCTCAGGTGGTGGCCAGGAGAACTGCTGTCTCATGACTATCTCGCTCCCACAGGGACAGATAGACAGGCCTCTATGCCGCCTCCCAAATGGGAACAAGAGGCAAAGTGAAGTAAGAGCCCCCAGCAGCAGCAGACCCACAAGAGTGGGGGCGACTGAGGGGCCGGCCACTTGAGATGCCCAGTCTCCTCCTGTAATGGGGAGGGTTTAAACGTAATAAGCTCACCATGTTAAACCCCTGACTGACACGTCTCCCCAGCTACCGGACACAGGTCAATGGACATCCTAGCAGCCCCCAAACATCCCACACCACAAGTCGGCCCCTCTCCTGACTCCTCCTTTAGCAGGACTGCCACTCTGCCTAGTCACTCAGGTTAGGGCCATCTCCTATGCCCCTTTTCTCATAAAAAGACAAAAAGGAAGGGAATAGAATGTCCCTAAGGATAAACAAAAGTTACCACCCAGCACTGTGTTTTCACCAGGAGTACACGCCATCTTTCAGAGCCTTTGAAAGCTACTCTTTCTCATGCCTACATAAAATATTGTTCAGCAGTCCGTCTCGGTGACAAACTTTCAAATACGTGGCAATTTTCGTCAAAAGATCAAAAGTAAACTATCACTAAGTCCTGGCAGAGAACTGAGTCTGAACTACAGACTTTCCAGAAGCACACCGCTATTGCAGTGGGAAGACCACCGGACAAACAAGAACAGGAAGATAATGGAGGGGCACCCGAACTGAAACGCCTTCCTTCCCGACTGCCATCCTTTTAGGGAGCACAGCCCAGAATGGCCATCCTCCTGACAGCCTCCTCTGCCCCCCTATAGACTGAGCTGGGATACCCTGTGAAGAAGTTTTATCTCGTGGTCTGATTAGTCATAGATTTGAAAGGTGAAGAATACCCCAGAAAGCCGTTCCCCCTGCATTCCCAACATACCCTGCTCTCAGGTGTGTCCCGACTTCCTGATCAGCACAGCCAACCAGCTCTCACCACCAAGGCTTCTGCTGCGTTTGTCCCCTTCACCCTGATCCCTGCCCCCCCCACTAGGAATTCTCAGTAAAGAGAGTCCATGATGTATGGTTTTGACACAACCTCCCCAGTTATCTTTGTGGAGAGCCATACTACCTCTCTTCAACCACTGGCTTTCACGCCCCGGTCACATCGAGTGCTTTTCTTCTCCGAGGCTGCTCTGCTCGCCAAGGTAAGGACTCTCACATTGGCCCTTGATAACTGGAGCCCTCCCCCAGAGTCTTCCAGCTGGGGAGGAAATGTTTTCCCTCGAGTCACAGAGCTGGCTGGGATCACAGGGCACTAGCAGGTGAAAACCCGTGGTAAAGGAGGTAGAGCTGGGGATGGGGGGAAGGTAAGAGGCGGGAGAGAAAAGAAAACCACCCTGACAATAGCACCGGCGTCCTTGGATCGTGTGCCAGAAGCAAGACCTTGTGCTGTCACCAGCCTGTCACCAGCTTTCTCCCCTCCGTCCTGCTCAGCTAGTCTGAGTCGGGTTTCTGGGACTGACAGCTGACAGACCCTTCAGTCCATCTTTTACTTCCGCTTTCTCACTGAACACACTTGGGATGTGACTTGTTCTCTCACACCCCCCTTAAACAAATTGCTTGCCTCAAGGCCCACTGAGAGCCTCACAATGCTCCCAGAACTCCGTCAGCATCTCCCAGCGAGTGCCCACTCTGACTTTCCACACTTCCTATTACTTTTTGACAACTAAGCTAGCCAGGACACACTGTCCCTCAATCACATTCCAGGACAGTCCTGTCTGTGCCTTGCCCATGCTGACCTTGCCTCCTAGAACACCCCTACACACCTCTGCACTTTAAATATACTAAAGAGAAAAGAGAAAAGGGGGTCCCGCTGCTTTTCAAGTCCATTTCACATTCCTCAAGTCTTTCCTAAGTGGGCCCTATGCCTGCATATGCAAGGGTAAACCTCTTTGGCCCCAACAGCGTCTGCCTCACGTTCTCAGTCTGGTTCTATCTTAGGGCCACTTATTGGTGATAAGACCAAAAACTACCCTGAAGCCAGAGTCAGAACCCTGAAGCTCCCCCTTCCTTGCCTCCCCATGCACATTCAGGTCCATCCTAACCCTCCTCCAAAACACTTCTGAGCCCATCATTCCTGCTCCCTCAGAACACCTACCCGCCATTAGGTCCATCTCACTTAAACCTAGCTGCCCACTGCAGCCATTAGCCTCCCAGGATGCACATCTCAACAGTCTCTGCTCTACTCAGAGTCCAGGCCCAGGTTCCTCAGAGCTTGGCTTCTGTCCACCAGGCTCACTGCTCACCACTCTACTACTATCCAAACCAGACTGCTCAAGGTATCCTACCACCCAGGGGGTCTTAATGATGCTCACCTTTGGAAAGGTCTCTCCACACCTACCCAGTAAAGTCCCCAGATTCCAGGTGCTTATCCCACTGAGAAGTCATTAAACACCCAAGTTACCAGTACTGGTGTAAACCCAACTTTACCTTTACACCCCAATGCCCAGTTCAAGGCCAATCACCACAAATAGGTGCTCAGGAAACTTTCAAAGCTTCACCAGAGGCCTTGGTGGCAGAGAACATTAGCATTAGCAAATACCCAGCACTGTCCTGGTCAACTCCATTGACATCCACTGACAGGACTCGATATTACCAAAATGCGCCGGGGATACTGACATTCCCCTGGTGCACCAAGGTTAACTGGTAGGCATGGACTAGACAAACACAGGATCAAATCCCCAGTCACAAGTCTCTTGACCTCTGAGTCCTCCACTTCCTTGTGTGTAAAGCATAGTTAACACTATATAACTGTCTGGTTTTGGTTTTTGGATGACTGAATAGGGCGAATTTAGGCTGCTTTCCAAAGACTCCAGGTAGAATCACTTTTGAGTCTTGTCTGTCCCTAGTACAGCTTGTCTGTCCCTAGTACAGCCCTTAGCCTGATCCAGCCTTGCCCCACCCCTTCGTACTTTACTGTGTGGTGCTGGGGAATTGTAGTCCACAAAGGCGGCCTCTCTGGCTCTGCTTGCTAGCTGACTCACCTGAGCTCTGTTTCTGAAGGTCTTGGGTTATCTACTAACTGCATGCCAAATTCCCAGCCCTACAGAGCAATGCAGTGTTGGAGGCCCAGCCCCATCCCTGTGGCCACTGTAGGCAGCTGCAGCCCTGGGTGAACTGAGTATTAAAGTACATCCTAAAAGTTCCATTTCAATCAAGGTGACAATGAATTCTCAGTCACCTAAGAGGCAACTTAGGGTGGTATGGGAATGGCTTTAATGGCAGTGGTGACGCACGCCAGTTCCCCTCGCCATGCACTAGGCACTGGCAGTCAGCAATTTTCCTCTGCATATTGTCTTTCACATTTCCTCTGAAGATTCTCAAAGCTATCAATGGCTCCCACCGCTTAACAGAATGTTCAGACCCCTCAGCTGGGCATACAGGGGCTTTGGGATTGATCCATGCATATTTCATCATGGTGGTTACAACTGTCGTTCTCATTGTTGGCTACAGCTGAGAGTCATCTGGAGCTTGTGACCAATCCTAGACATCAAAACTTTGGAGGGACAGTGGGGACTTCTGCAGCTTCTCCAGCGGTGACTGCCATGCACAGGCCAGGCTGACGGCTGACTTATCATCCACCAGGTTTGTCAGCCCTGCTGGAACACACCTTCCTGGATGTGAGCCTTTTCGGTGCCATTTGCCAGTGTTCAGAGCGGCCTTGGTTCCCCCCATGCCTGACCCGGCTCCTCCCACGGCTGAGCGCATCCCTCACCATCTCCCAGCACTCAGCTCCCCACTGACACTTTCTGCTGCTGCTCCTCTAGCTCCTTGGACATGCTGTGAGTTTCTTGCAGGGGGCATCTGAAAATGCCCCCTTTCACCTTCTCCAGATCCAGAGTCCCTGGGGGTCCTCAGGCCTAAGTCGTTTCTTAGGCTTCCTGGGTGATTCGGACCCATGCCCGTCCACCTGCTCTTGACTTCCCCAAACCACTGGGTACAGCAAATCTGATGAATGTGTGTCGGACGGACCCCGCATCTCCTCTGTCTTGAAGCCAGTCACAACCCTGTACCGAATGTCATTGATTCCTGTGGAGTGCCAAGCTCCCCTCCCCTGTGACACTCTCATTAACCTTCATCTAACAAACATCACAGCCTGTGACAGAGGCCTGGGGCTCGGGAGCAATCAGGGACACACAGAGCAACCCCAGGCATGTAAGAGTCCACTGATGTGTTAGTTATTTTACAGTTAGCATTAGGATTTCTTCCGAGTTACACGTGTTTTTTTTTCCACATGCAACTTGATAGTGAAGGGTAAAGAAGATACCTTTGGTTATACCCCAGGATGCTGCAGGTACACAGAAACATTTCCTAAATGGTTACTGAATCGAGACAACCCATTTCATGGCACATTTCCTAGCCTGTTAGAACTCTTCTTTGCAGCAGTACAGGTGAATGAGCTGTTAAGTCCCCTAAGGCAGGAACTGGGCCACCCTGCTCATTATGCCTGACACAAGGCTTGGCCTGCACAGATGCCCAATGAATATTGCCAAATATATGAGTAAGACATCTCAGAAGAAAAATTCTGTCAAGCCCGCCACCCCTGCCCCCATGTACAGAAATGGTGAACGAGAGCCCCAGCAAGACACTCCTTTTACTTACTTACAGGTTGACCTGAGACTCTAGTTCAGGGTCTTTTGTTGGCCAAGTCTGAAGGGGCTGGATGCCGAAGGAGAGAGATGACTTCGCTTTCCAGAGGAGGGTTTGTGCCAGCTGACTCCCACAGGACCCCTTGGTCAGCGGATCCATTAGTGGGCCTGGAGGCTGAGATGCTGTGCTGAAGCAGAAGAGGATGGGAAACATGCTGAGAACCAGAGAAGATTACAGGTGCACCACAGCCCGATCTGGAATCTATCCCCAAAATGGCCTGTCTGTTCAGGAGCGTCGAGGAGGACACCAAGGTACAAGAAAGCCCCACGTGGCCAGCAAGGCTGCATCATGACCTGTCTGTAATGTTGTTGCTCAGGAGCCTGGGTGCGGAGGAACTGCTTGGGATCAATCCAAATCCCAGCATACCCCTCAACTATGATTACATCACCCATACATAAGTCAAAAGGATCTTCCTATGATCAGAGTGTCCCTGAAAGGTTGATACATTGTCATTTAATCCCCACTGTGAGTATTAGGAAGGTGGAGACATTATGACTATAGCATATAGACTCAGAACCTTTGGGAAGTGGTTAGGATTATATGAGTCACTGGTGTTGAGCCTCCATAATGGAATCTTGGTTGCCTTAAGGAAAGCAAAATCAGAGGCACACACACACACACACAAAACAAAACCAAACAAAATAAAACAAAACAAAACAAAACAAAACACTTGCATAATATCAAGATTCTCCCAGAAAGAAAAGCATCACCATGTAGACCTTCATATTTTAATCGGAACTGTGAGCTAATAAAGTCACCCAGCCAACAGTACTTTGTTATGGTAATGAACAATTTGTATCTAAAGATCCAGTGGGTGTTTAAAAAATCACCAGGTGGAAGAGCATGGTGGTGCATGCCTTTAATCCAGCACTGGGGAGGCAGAGACAGGTGGATCTCTGTGAGTTTGAGGCCAGCCTGGGCTACAAAGAGAGTTCCAGGATAGCCAGGGCTATGCAGAGAAACCCTGTCTTGAAACCCCACCCCCCAAAAAAAATTTACCAGCTTATTTATGCAAAAGGCAATAACGTCTGAGCAAGGAAAGAGATGTCTCGAATGCTTTGGGAGACTGGCAGTGGTGGGGCCTAATGCCATCACTCTCCCTGTCCAGCAGTACTCTTGGTCCAATCCGTTTCTAGTTTAAACGACCATGAGGGATGGAGACATGGCTCAGCACTCGCTACTCCTGCAGAGGGCCTGGACTCTACTCCCAGTGCCCACATGGCAGCTCACCACCGTCTGTCACCCCAGTAGATCCAGTGCCCTTCCGATCTCTGTAGGACCATGTACACAAATGGCGCACGGACATATATTCAGGCAGAACATTCGTCTATATAAAATAAAAAAAAATCTAAAGTTTTTAAAGCTATGGATAGCCATAGAAAGGGCTCAAGACCAACAACAAAACCAGAGACACAAAGAACCAAATTCTCCACTCAGGACTAACAGCATCTAGCGTGTAAGTAGCACAGGCCTGCTGGAGTGATAAATGCACCGTGCACAGGCACCTGCACTGAGAAATGCATTCCTGAGACCTGTCTGCTCTTCTCTTATGGCACAAAGAGGGCAGTGGGACAGCCAGTTCTAAAGAGAGGGCCACACTTCCTGAAGGCAGCAAGCGTTCCCTCTGACTGCAGGATTTCGATTAGCAGCATCTTTACCCACCTCGACCTCAAGTGAAAGACAAGCCAACCGAGTCCAATTACTGGGAAGGGGAAACAAGAAGGGAGAGCATGTCATTCAGGCGACTTCAGTTCTTGTTCTGGGGACATGGTCACTCACGTTTGGTTCAAAGTATACCATTTTCTCAATCCTTTTAAAAAGTAAGAGGGCAATCTTTAGTAGCATTTGGCCAAGAGATCCTTTTTAAACTCTCTTTCCCTGGAAAGACTGTGACAAGGTGGAGGGCAGGGGGGCTGGATGTTCAGGCGGTGTCATCTGTGTCTCCACCAGAGCCACATGCCTGGAGGCTAAGGGAAGCGCCTCCTCTGGGTATTTGGACTCAGACAGCCACCGTCCACTCTGAGCTGCTCCAGAAGTGCTAAGCAGGTCCCAGACTGAGACATGCTAAAACAAAGAGGTCATTCTAGACCTATGCCTAATGAAAAAGGAATCCACCCATGCCTCAGCTGTCCCTTTGACCATTCTTAGGCTGACTGACCTAAGACCCTCTAGTGTTCCTTCTTTGAAAGAGATGACTCAGCTCTCCCCATCACCTTTTCTGGGTTGGCAAAGCCGCCTGCTGTACAACTCAAGTTCACTAGCCTCCCCCGTTTACCTTACAGCAGCTAAGCAGACATCAAAAGCTAAAGCCTTTCACCCGTGGCAGAAGGCAAAGGGCTACTCTGGTACATGAACAGTTCTCGTGTGTGTGTGTGTGTGTATGTGTGTGTGTGTGTGTGTGTGTGTGTGTGTGTGTGTGTGTGTGTGTGTGTGTGTGTGCGCGCGCACGCGTGCGCGCCTAGGACTGTGCAGAGGCCAGAGGTTGACATCAGGTATCTTCCTCAATTGCTCTGTGGTGGTTTGAAAGAAAATGGCCCCCAAAGGGAGCAACACTATTAGGAAGTGTGGCCTTGTTGAAGGAAGCATGTCACTGTACCGGCGGGCTTTGAGGTCTCTTTTGCTCAAGCTTCTCTCAGTGTGACAGTCAACTTCCTGTTGCCTATAAGATGTAGCATTCTCAGCTCCAGCACCATATCTGACTGCATGCTGCCATGCTCTCTGTCATGATTATAATGGATTGAACGTCTGAAACTGGAAGCCAACACCTCATTTGAATAATTTTCCTTATAAGAGTTGCTGTGCTGCCCCCAACTCCAGAGGGGAAGAATAATGAAAGAGATCTCTAGATAGAGGGGGCCATTATGGGGATAGGGAGAAACCTGGTGCCAGGGAAACTCCCAGGAATCCACAAGATTCCTAACCATAGTAGAGAGGGTGCCTGAACTGGCCTTCTGTAATTAGATTGGCGAATACCCTAATTGTCAAGAGAGCCTTCATCTAGTAACTGATGGAAGCAGATGCAGAGATCCACATCCAAGCACTGGGCCGAGCTCCATGAGTCCAGCTGAAGAGAAGCAAGAGGGATTGTATGGTCAAGATCATGATGGGGAAACCCACAAAGACAGCTGACCTGAGCTAGTGAGAGTTCACAGACTCTGGACCAACAGCTAGGGAGCCTGCATGGGACTGATCTATGCCCTATGTGTGTGGGTGACAGTTGTGTAGCTTGGACTGTTTGTGGGACCCCTAGCAGTGGGATCAGGACCTGTCCCTGGTGTTCAGGCTGGCTTTTTGGAACCATTCCCCATGCTGGGATGCCTCGTCCAGCCTTGATGCAGTGGGAGAAGCTTGGTCTTGCCTCAACTTGACATGCCATGATTTGATTCCCATGGGAGGCCTGCCCCTTTCTGAATGGAGAAGGAATGGATGAGGAGGGGAGCGGGGGGGGGGGGGCAGCCAATAGGTGTGGGGAGGGAACAGAAAGAGAAGAGGAAGAGGAAATCTTGGTTGGTATGTAAAATAAATGAAAAAAATTAATAAAAAAACAAGAAAAAAGTACAATTAAAAAAAAAGTTGCTGTGGTCATGATGTCTCTTCACAACAATAGAAACCCTAAGACATGCTCTATACCACTCCACACTTTTTAAAGATTTATTTATGTGAGTAACTGTTTTGCCTGCATGATATATGAACACCATGTGTATGACTGGTGATTGCATTTGTGAGTCACCAAGTGGGTGCTGGAAACCAAACCCAGGTCCTCTGCAAAAACAGTAAGCACTCTTAACTGCTGAGCCACCTCTCCAGCCCCTACACCATATGCCTAAAGACAGGGTCTCTTACTGAGCCTGGAGCTCACTGAAAGCCTAGACTGGAGAGCCCAGATCCTCCTGTCTCTGCCTTCCCAGTACTGGGATTACAGGTTCATGCTGGGAATATGAACTTGGGGCCCCATGCTTTAACAGCAAGTCCTGGCTGAGACAGCCCCACATCTGAGCCTCAGTGTCACTAGAATTTATTGTTGCTTTAGCACTAAAACAACAAATAGAGAATAAAGCAGAGCTTCAAAACAAGAGACACATCTTCTTCTCAATACTTGAGATTTCTTTCTATTACAAAGATCATACTTGCATGCAAAAGACTGACAGCGTGTTCTCCAAGCCCCCCCCCCCCCCCCCCCCCCCCCCCCCCCCCCCCCCCCCCCCCCCCCCCCCCCCCCCCCCCCCCCCCCCCCCCCCCCCCCCCCCCCCCCCCCCCCCCCCCCCCCCCCCCCCCCCCCCCCCCCCCCCCCCCCCCCCCCCCCCCCCCCCCCCCCCCCCCCCCCCCCCCCCCCCCCCCCCCCCCACCACCCCCCCCCCCACCCCCCCCCCACCCCCCCCCCCCCCCCCCCCCCCCCCCCCCCCCCCACCCCCCCCACCCCCCCCCCCCCCCCCCCCACATCCCCTCCCCTCCCCCCCCCCAACCCCCACCCCCCCCCCCCACCCCCCCCCACCACCCCCCCCCCCCCCCCCCCACCCCCCCCCCACCCCCCCACCCCCCCCCCACCCCCCCCCACCCCCCACCCCCCCCCCCCCCCACCCCCCACCCCCCACCCACCCCCCCCCACCCCCCCCCCCCCCCCCCCCCCCCCCCCCCCCCCCACCCCCCAACCCCCCCCCCCCCCCCACCCCCCCCCCCCCCCCCCCCCCCCCCCCCCCCCCCCCCCCCCCCCCCCCCCCCCCCCCCCCCCCCCCCCCACCCCCCCCCCCCCCCCCCCCACACCCCCCCCCCCCCCCCCCAACCCCACCCCCACCCCCCACCCCCCACCACCCACCCCCACCCCCCCCCCACCAACCCCCCACAACCCCCCACCCCCCCCCCCCCAACCCCCCCCCCCCCCACACCCCCCCACCCCACCCCACCCCCCCCACCAACACCCACCCCCCCCCCCCCCCACCCCCCCCACCCCCCCCACCCCACCCCACCACCCCCACCCCCCCCCCCACCCCCCCCCCACCCCCCCACCCACCCCCCCCCACCCACACCCCCCCCCACCCCCCCCCCCACACACCCCCCACCCACCCCCACCCCCACACCCACCCACCCCCCCCCCCAGGAGGAGTGGAGAAGCATGGAGAAACTGAATGA